AGTGAGATGGAATCGCAGTGTTATTTTAATTGCATTTCCTGAGTGATCAAACAATGTTTTCATTCAGGATTGTTTTCATTTATTGTCTTAGTTACTCTTCTGTCATTGCTGGGACAAATACCTGACACTCAAAATTAGGGAAAGAAAGGTTTATTTAGGGGACAGTTACCGGAGGTTTCATAGTTTAAACCATCCTGAATTGCATAGCAAGAACTTGGATCCTTATTTGCTCACGAGAGTGAGTCAGTGCCTCTCTCTTCTCTAAACATCTTTTCTCTGCCCGAGGTGGCCTCAATCATAGACACCACCGCCCTGTGCTACAGGATCTGGAGGAGAGGCTGGGGTGCCTCCGTGTCCAGGATGACCCTCTCCACACCTCTGAGAGACCGCAGCCTGGGGGGCAGCATAAGATGCCAGTTTAATGGTTCACACCTCTCTGGCCCTACCTCTCAAACGCTACCCTGGTCCTCTGGCCCCACCCCTTAAGCCACTCACTGCTCCTCCAGCCTAGTCTGCCCCATAACTTACATGAGGCTAGACACAAACCATAACATGTATTTATGGGCCATTTGTACTTCAAGTATGTGTTCATTTCAGATGCCCAATTTTCTGGACTTGGTCTTTAAATTTGAGGGGTCTGATTTTTTTTTTTTTTTTTTAGTTCTTTATATACTCTACAGGAGTAGCTGGATTTTTTTTTTTCTAATATTCCATAGCTTGTCTTCACTATGAGCATTTTGGACTTTGGGGCAGATAGATCTGGCTTCTGCTTCTGGTAAACTAAATGTTTTACCATTTAGTTGTCTCCCTTTACCCTCCAGACTAGAACTCAGAACCTTGTGCTTGCTATGCAAAAACTGTATAACTGAATTACATCCTTAGCCCCAGATAATTGTTTTAAGCAGGGCATTTACTTTTTTTGAGCCTTGTCCAGATTTTGGCAGTAAAATTGACTTAACGGGATTGTTGTTGAAGCCCAGAGATGATGTATATATGTAATCCAGTGCCTGGATTATTTTAAAGGTTCATATACATGATATGTTTAGTCTATAGTTAATCTTTCTGTTTTATAATTTTAGTGATTTTTTTTTGGGGGGGGGTCTTGAGAATTGAGCCCAGGGCCTTTGTACTGAACTATCCATAGTTCATTTTAATTTTTTATTTTGAGACAGAACTCACTGAGTTTCCTATGCTGGGTTCAAACTTATGGTCCTCCAGCCTCAGCCTCCCAGAGTGCTGTGATTATAGATATGCCACCACATACCTTAATATTAGTCTTTAATTGTGGTTAAAAACACATAGAATTTACTGTTTTATCTATTTTAAGCATATAGTTCATTAATGATGAGTCCATTCATATTGTATAACAGATCTTTAGAACTTTTTATTTTACTAAACTGAAACTCTTCACTCATATTAAACAACTTCCAACACCCATATCCCTAAATCCTGGCAACCACTATTCTAATTTCTAGTTCTTTGAATTAGACTACTTAGATACATCAGAGAAATAGAATATATTTTACAGTTCTCAAAACTGAGTAAGATACTATGTATAATTAAGCTGTTATTGTTATTTTGCATAGGTGCTGCCTGTGAGTAAAAACAGCCAAATGATTACATTTACTTTTCAAAATGGTTGTGTTGCTACCCTTCGCACAAGTGGGACAGAACCAAAGATAAAGTATTATGCCGAGATGTGTGCACCACCTGATCAGAGGTAATAGTAGATTTTTAGACATATTTATCTGCCTATATCCATGTCTAAGCTTTGTTTATATATAACTCACATAAGAAACAGTTCACTCACTTAAAATGTACAATTCATGGGGCTGGCGAGATAGCTCAGCAGACTAAAGCACCTGCTTAGGCAAACTTAGGCAAAGCGTGGAGACCGCCTTTCAATCCCAGGCACCACACAGGAACCAGCCCTCCCCCCACGGTGGGCTGAGTCAGGCTGAGTCATGGTGGCATATGCCTTTAATCCCAGCACTGGGGAGGCTGAAAGTGTGGTGAAACCCTGTAACAAAATACATAAAAATAAATAAATAAATGAAATGTTTAATTCATCCATTTTTGGTATACCCAGTTTGTGCCACCATCATTACAGTCAATTTTTATTTATTTTTTGTGATAACAGATGAATTTTAATTGTAGTGCTTGAAGCTGTACAAGGTTGGTGTTATAGGGCCGGGGAGATAGCTCAGTGGAATAAGCACTTGCCTGGCAAGTGAAAGGACCTGAGTTCAATCCCTGGTTCCCCCAAAAAAAAAAAAAAAAAAGGTTGATGTTATAAACTTCATGGACTGTTGTACACATTTAATAAAATGATAACTCTGTGATACCACATAGTATCTCATCATCAGAAATACAGTTTTGAATTGTTTAAGCAGAATTAAAAACAAAATCAGAAACCATCCACAATTATACTAAATTATCAATAAAAAGTTTTACATGTAATACTGGATAAACACCACTCAGTACTTAGTGGGGGGCACTGGAAATGATGTCAGAGCCTCTCATTGCGTTCCTCTCTATAGGGAAGGTTTCTTGGGTAGGGCTGTGGCTGGCCGAAGGTGGCTACAACCAGGACTAGGCTGGCCAGTCCAATTTCTACCACAGTCTTTGAGTTTCTGCTTTTTTTCATTGTCAGTTGAAAGTGAACAGTGAGAATTAAATACTCACCTTTACAAATACACAGTATGCTGTGAAAGTATATTGGCTTACAAACATATAAAAATACTTGTTAACTAGTTTGATAAGAAAATAATGTATAAAAGTATATAGCAAAACATTAATCTTCTCTGACTCTGGAAAGAACAATTCCATGTTTTATATTACATCAAACAAAAACAGTTTTAGTTTAGTTTTGTTTTTTAATCCCTTAACCAGAAATACTTGAAAATGAAGACAAATAAAAAGTACTCATTCTTACTATTAGCAAGACTATGGAAAGCATTAAGTTAGGAAACCAGCTACAGTACAATGTCTAAGTCCAGAAGGGTCCAAATATTTGGCCACACATATTGTTCCCATCTTCAAGAGGAAGAGTAATAACAAAGGCTGCTTAAGCAGTTTTTAATCCACAAATACAACAAACATTTTGGTATTTTTGGCCACTGGAAAAACAAAAGCTATAGAATCAGGAAAGGACTGAGATGTATTGCTTCTGTAGGTTCCATTCTGTGTATTTAAAGTTAGATAAGGTTGACATCAAAATTTCTAAGGATAACCAAAAATTCACATTAAAAAAAAACAAAACAAAACTTCTTATGTTTCTATTTAGCATAACAGTAGACAATATGATTCCAGAAGTTAAAAAGTATTTCACAACCTATGAGTTCTTCTTGGCAAATAACTTCAGTTCCAAACTGACTTATCCCTAATAAAGTGTAAGTCCTTATAAACAGAATATGTTTATATATGTAGACAGTATTTTAAAGGAGTCAGATAATCTTTGAAGAAGCCTTAGTGTTTCCTTCAAATTGACCTGGAAAGGACCATTGTATTAGCTTCATGAGAAGGATGAGCAGACTTCTTGGTCTAAAGCTAACATAGTAATCATTGGTCTAACCTTGGTCTAAGGCTAACACGGTGGTCTGGTCTAAGGCTAGAAAGGTACTAACAAGATGTAAGCCACAAGGAGAGGAGGAGGCAAGGAAGGCCTTCCCTGGCATTTCATAGCTAAACCTGAAAAGATTCTTAGAAAAATGACACAATGGTAGCCTTTCGTCTTTTTCTATGTTGATTCTGGTGAAGGACATTCTTGCTCCTGAAATTTCCTTATAACCTGAACAAGTTCATGAGAAGCTTGGTCGACATTCATTCTAATCTTTGCCTATACCTCCATGTATGTTACCTTAAGTTGCCCTGCTAACCGTTGTCCTTCTCTGTCACCTGCCTTTGATGATCCAGGTTTGCTTTGTTACCAGTTAAGATCATTGGAAACTCATCATGATCTTTTACTCTGAGAATCTATTTTTGAAATTTATATATTTCTTTAAAACTGCCACTATTTGTAACTGAAAATTAAGAAGGCTTCACCGGTCCTTATGTACTGTTCTCTCATGGCTCCAAACTTTTCTTGTCCAGCTGTATCCAAAGTATCTAGTGGGGGTGCTCTGTTGTCTTATCACACACTGCTTTGTGTAGGAATCTTCAATGGTTGGATCATAATCTGTTACCAAATAGGACCGGATGAACTGTATGGTGAGCTCAAACTTGACACTAGCCGGTACCTCTGGCCAGAGCCATCCCCCAGCCAGCCGTGAGCCCAGCCCGACCCACTGCCACCGCCCTACCTAGGCCCGGCTCCAGGGATGGGTGCGGCTGGCCAGCTGCGGGCCAGTGACCAGGCAGGGGTCTCAGGGGCCGCAGGCTGTGGAGAGGGCTGGGACCCTCTCCACAGCGTGGGTGCCTAGTCGGGCCAGGGCTGTCCAAGATGCAGAGATATGGAAGAGCACGGGGTCGACACAGGGGCTGCAGTGGGAGGTGCACTCCTCTATGCTTCTCTGCAGAGCCTCCAGTACCGCTACAAATGGCCATCTCTATAATCAATTTTTAACATTTTGGTTATCCTCCAAAGAACCCCATGGTCTTTAGAGATTATTTCTCATTTTCTTCCTTCAAAGCACTAAGTAACCACCAGTATGCCACCTTTCTTTATAGATTTTCTTCTAGAAATTTCTTATAAATATATCGTATAATGTATAGTCCTTTGTGGCTGGCATATTTTACTTAGTATAATGATTTTTTTTTGTATTCATTTCTGCTTTATTCCTTTTTTAAAAAAAATGTGTCTTTGTCTCAAAATATTCCATTGCATGGATATATCATCCTTTTAGTCTATTCAGTCAGTGGACATTCAGGTTATCTACATTTTTTTAATTTTTACTTTATGAATATTTGTGAAGAAGTGTTTATATGTGGACATGTTTTCATTTTTAGATAACTAGGTATAGATATTTATGTATAAGTAGAATTGCTGGGTCATATAATTGCTGGGTTATTACAATAACTATTTTATAATATGATAAAATGGTTAACTTTTTGAGGTACTTCCAGATTATTTCAAAGATGCTACATCATTTGAAAATTAAATTTGTACTCTTTTATAAAAAAAATTTCAAAAAATCTTTTTATTTATTTGGTATAGGGCCTCACTATGCAGCTGGGACTCATAGTGATCCTCCTGTGTCAGCCTCCCCAGCACTGGGATTACAGGTGTGTGCCACCATGCCCAGTTTTGGTGGCTAACATGGCACACCCGGGAACCCGGGGCTGGCAGGGCATATGGTACCAGGAATCAAACCCAGGTCCTTGCGCTTGCCAGGCAGTCACTTAGACCATTGAGGTATCTCTCTGGCCTAAATTTCTATTCTTGAAAAAATTCACTAAGCTTTAACTATTTTATGATCAACATAAAGAACTAACCAGAAGCTGGGCTGCAAATGCAGCTCAGTGCTGGAGCACTTACTTAGTGTTCCTGAAATTCTGGGTTTTATCCTCAGCACTGAAAGAAATGATTAGCAGTGATTTGTATTTATTGCCAGATATTTATTTTCTGTGTCTCATATAACACAGAAACCTTTGACATAACATTTTTAATTCATTTCATTGAGTATAAATTGTGACTAAGGTAATTCATCACAAATTATTAAAATGTTTATTAAACATATACAAAATTATACTTACTAAAAGTAGTACCTCCTACAATGTTGTCTTTCACCAGTGTATTTTTTGAAGAAGTTTTGTTTTATGTGAGATTTTTTGGTTTTTTTTTTGGTTTTGGTCTTATTTTGTTGTAGTATTAGGATATGAACACACAACCTTCACCCTGACCTATGTCCTTAGCCTTTAAAAAAAAAAGAGTTAGAGGAATTTCTGCCCTGTTCCAGGAACCCTCAGACCCAGTCCTAGCCCAGGACCGGTGAGTTGTGTGGGAGAGCTTCCAGCTACCCTGCGCCGGCAGGACCTACTGATTCTAGCCCAGGTGCACAGTGGGTGAGACCCTCTTCCACCCCCTTGGGATGCCCCCCACCACTCCGCAGCACCTCCTCTACCCCGCCCACTGAGTAGGAATTTCTGCTGTGTTCCAGGAATCCCCAGACCCAGTCCTAGCCCAGGCCCAGTGAGTGTGTGGGAGAGCTTCTGGCTACCCTGCACCAGCCAGAGCTACTTGTCTCAGCCCAAGTGCAGTGTGGGTGAGACACTCTTCCACCCCCTTGGGACACCCCACCACCACTCCGCAGCACCTCCCCTACCCCACCTGCCCAGTAGGAATTTCTGCAGCATTACAGGAACCCCCAGATCCACTCCTAGCCCAGGCCCGGTGAGTGTGTGGGAGTGCTTCTGGCTACCTTGTGCTGGCATGACCTACTGGACCCAGCCCATGCGCAGCATGAGTGACACCCTCTTTCACCCTCTTGGGATGCCCCCCATCACTCTGTAGTACCCCCACACACACACCCTGCACACAGAGTAGGAATTTCAGTCACGTCTGGGAACCCCCAGATCCAGTCCTAGTCCAGGCCTGGTGAGT